GTGTGTGTGTGTGTGTGTGTGTGTGTGTGTGTGTGTGTGTGTGTGTGTGTGTGTGTGTGTGTGTGTGTGTGTGTGTGTTTTGGCCTTACCTGTGGAGCTGCATTGAAGTTGCTGCTCCGGACAATACTTTGGGGCAGTCAAGGAAGAGAAGTGGAAACATTGTTTGTGTGTGTGTGTGTGTGAGTGTTTGTGTGTGTGTGTGTTTGTGTGTGGGGGGAGGTGGACAGGTGTGGAGGTTAGCAAAGATTTAAATGCAGCTGTAAAAATATAAAAAAGGCAGTGAGCCGTCATGCAGCACAGAGGGTTCTGCGGGATCAGAAGTTTAAGCAAAGGTTTTAGATGAAAAGGTTGTGATCAGACCAATGAGGGACAGTATGGCAGGTCAGAGGTCAGGAAGTGGGTTCAAACGCAGACAGAGGTTGAGAGGGTGCAGGTGTGGACACAGGAGGGTGTGTGACAGAGGTTTGTTGGGGTCCTAGTGGCTGGTGGACATGGCCCAGGCGCCCTCCATCCTCCAGACGGAGAAGGCGTAGCTGAGTCTCTCGTGGGCCAGGTAGTTGCAGCTGGCCAGCTTGGCGTCCATCTCGTCGCTCTGCAGCACCTGGTACAGGAAGTCGATGTAGCGTGAGGCCAGCTTCAGGATCTGGATCTTGCTCAGCTTGTCGGAGGGTAACGTGGGGATGATCTTGCGTAGCGAGGCGAAGGCGTCGTTCAGGGACTGCGTGCGCTGGCGCTCCCGGACATTGGCGATGACGCGCTGGGAGTGGAGCTCCTCGAAGGGAGCCTCCGGCCTGGGCCCCAGGGACGAGGGAGCCAGCGTCACGATGGCGGAGGGACTCTTCTTGATTCGCTTCGGCCCGGTCGGCAGCAGGCTGCCGGTGCTGCTCTCCTCCGTCTGACTCAGGCCGTCCTTCTTTGGATAAGGCGAGCGTTTTCGATTTCCCGCTTGGAGGGTCTTTTTGGACGCTCTCTCCAGCTCCTCCTCGCTGGCCCCCAGCCCTCCTTCAGGGGAGTTGGTGCAGGACACCTCTTCTCTCATTGCAGTGTCCAAGGATGACCTCTCCACTGCTCAGAGAAGGTTTGGCACGGCTCTGTTTTCACCCTCAACGGACCTCAGTTTGGCAAAAAAAAAAAAGTCTTCTTCTAACCCGTCAGTTACGGCTGCTGAAGCTCCATCAGATTCAACCTCTCTCTGTCTCGTTTCCTGGTTTTTAAATCGCACACTTGCACAATCCCTTCTCCTTTCTACCAGACGGAACAACAACAAACCGACTGACAAGCAGGTCTACCTCCGCCTCTTTTATAAGCCAAACGCCAAGTCGAGGCCTGCGGGCTCCTCTCATTGGCTCGGCGGACTCTCGGAGGGCGCGGTTTAGCTTGGAAGAAGCCAGGAAAGCGGGAAGTATACGTTGAACTGGGAGGGTGGTGGAGGAAGGGGGTAAGTGGTCCTCTCAGCCAATAAGGAGCGCTGCATCAAATGCTGCAGAGATGTCTGAGGTTTATGGGTTCCAGATTTGGGCTGGACCCTCGGTCCGCCTGCATCCTTGTGTGCACACAAACCTCACATGTTTGACCGTCGCCACATGTATGCTTCAGCCCTTAATACTTATTACATCGAGTTTTATGGCGATAATTATAGAGACAAAAACCTTGTCAGCTTTCTAACGACGTATCTGGATCGTATTTGCATCTCAAAAAGCACAACTTTTTTGAGAAAAACAATCCACTTTATGATGTAAATATATATTAATGAATTACATTTGTTAAATAAGTATCTTAGGTTCTAAAAAAACAAAAGAAAAAATCAAAATTTCCTTTGTTTTAGAATGGTTCTTTTTGCTCAAACGTCTCCGTAATCACTCCTGACGTTTGCTGTCTGGCTCCTCAGCGTGAGACGGGGAGAGAGCTCAGGCAGGACCCTAAATGACCTCTGACCCCAGCGACCCACACACCCCAGCCTGCAAAGGTGAGAGAGAGAGAGAGCCTAATTGTACCGTCCGTAGCCTGAAGGCAAAGCCGACACATGTTCCACCTTCCAGCAGCCCATCTGCAGCTACCACCTCACAAGGTAGGCCCTGCTGAGAAAAAAAACACTTAAATTTAAAAATGACATCAGGTTTTTGTTTGTGCAACCTACAATTTTAACCAATTACTAAATCTTGCGTAAATCCACCATCGCGTCCCGTTTTTCAGTTTCCCATCAGTAACCATTTATACCTACATGCGTCACAACTGGCTGACTCATCTGCAGATAACTGGAGGACTTGTTGCGGGGAGTTTTCCACTCCTCTCTGTAGAAATGTTGGACTTTTTTGATGACAGCACATGGAAGGGAAGCCTTTTTGTTCAAGTGCATAAATCTGAGGAGGAATAAAGCTGGCTGAAAGTCAGCGTGGGTCAGGACAAAACATTAAAAAAATGACCTTTTGAAAAAAATAAATAAAAGAATTGATTCGTGTCTGTAAATGTTGCCTGACAGATTCTGACCAAGAATTTGGGTGTGATTTCCGCWGTAGAGCGCGGGGTCTGAAGTTTATTTTATTTTTTATGAACCTCCTGATTGCGCTGGTTTACATTTCAGTCATGGAGCAACTCTCAGAACCTAAAACTCCCAATTGGATCAATTAACTTTAAAGAGGGGGGAAAAAAGTGACCACCATCAAAGAAAGAAAGTTTGATTAGCCTAAAGTTTGCTCTGGGAGTGGTGGGGACCAGAGCGGAGCTTTGAGGGAGGACAGGAAAGTCACCTGTTGCAGATGTGAAACTGCTTCTCACCTTCAGTGAAGCCGAGGCCTCGTCGTGCCACCATGATGGAAACAATGGGCTAAAAAAAAGAAGACCAACCGGACCAGAAGAATAAGAGAAAGGAAAAGAAGAAGAAAGTAGAACGGGTGGGGAGGGAGAAGAAGAAAAAAAAAACGTGAGGCTGTCCAAACAGAACCAGATGCAGGAGTGTGGAGGCTCGTTTGATCTTGATCCTCATAGGCTGATTGATGTTACACATTTCATTTCCTTGTCAGAGTCTTGACATAATGTTTCACTAAACGCTTAGGCCCCGCTCTCATCTCAGTTGTGTTTGCTCAGGGGTCATCATTAACCCTTTCTGGAGCAAACGTAGAGCGGGCATATTTTAATATAAGCTTGCACAGGAAAACTTGGATCTAAAAAAAATATTTAAAAAGCAGATGTATTGTCTTCTTTTTTTTTTTTTTTTGTCTCTGCACCAGATGGTTTAAAACTGAAGAGTAGCCACGTTGGAGCTTTGAAGTTCAGGATGGAGCGGGGGTTGGGGGTTGTTTCAAAAAATTGTAATGCATGCAGGTCAAATCTTCATCACACAACGGAAAAGTTTTGGATGATGAGCTGCGGCGGCGGGAGCACGGCGGCGTGACCAATCGTYGGCGACGTGTTTGGGAATCCACACTGCGCCCCACAGACGGAACCGATCATTACGCTCCTCCTCACCTTCACCCCCACAGTTTCTTCACCCTCCTGGGCTGTTGTTATTGATGTTTTAACACACCGCACTATATGCACCCCCCCACACCCCACCCCTTCTCCCCAACACCCCTACATACCCATTCTCCATGCCGTCCGTCTCAGGGGGAGCTGATGGGGGATGCAGAGAAAGACATCCGGGACCTATTTCCTTGTTTGGTGAAACCCTTCCTGTGGGGTATAGGGGGGTGAAGGTGTGCAGTGGGTG